TGATGTGACCACAACATTCGCAGCTGGCACCGTCAGCAAGCGAGTATTTGTCAGCGGCTGGTGAAGTTGGACATGTTCAACTTTTGGTAGCGAGGCAGCGGCGAATAGAGGTCACGTGACCACTCGCACTCGCTGACGCCAGCGAGCAACGCAGTCTGACCACTTCTAGAAGCGTGCTAGCGGCGACCAAAGATAATTTCCAACTTGGTTTAACAAGACAAAAGGACAAAAGCAACTGTTTAAATTTTTTAATTAGAGGTTTAACTAATTGTAGTAATGCCTGGAATGTATGTGGTGGTGACTGACATTCGTAAAACATTTCGGTATGTTTCTGATTCTTTTTTAGTGCGTTTAAAAACGTGGCATTTTTAAAAAGTATTTTTATTTATAAATTATTTGTATCCATGGCCTGATCCACTAACGTATCTTCTTGCGGTAAAGCATCTTATAATAAAATTATTTCTCTTTCATACATCCTCAATTCAATATTAAGTAGTGCTGGATGAAGACCCAAAAAAATGACGAAATGACGACAAGAACTGAGCTTTAAACTAGGCGATTAAAGTAGTATTTGTAGCATAGAAATTACTGAGCTTAGGTGGTCGGGGAAGCAGGTTATTGTTTTTTTTTTATTCCAAAACTAAACGTACAGTACTTGTGGGACGTTTCTTTAAAGAAGTAAAATAAGAAAACGTATTTAAACGTAAATTTAAAACGTCAAATAAGCAGCTTACAGTGATTTGTTACAAAACCTCACAGCTGTTCCTGTTCCTTTCTCACACATCCGTTGATATCACGATCACCAGCGGCTAACAAGCAGCCTCTAGTGTGACCCGTGGAAAAGCCGCTGCTTGGTGGTGCTGGTGCCAGCCGCTGATCACCAGCGGCTGCCGAGCAGCCTAGTGTGACCCGTGCTTCAGACTACGCTGCTCGCTGGCGTCAGCGAGTGCGAGTGGTCACGTGACCTCTATTCGCCGCTGCCTCGCTATCAAAAGTTGAACATGTCCAACTTCGCCAGCCGCTGACAAATACTCGCCGGCTGACGGTGCCAGCTGCGAATTTTGTGGTCACATCAAGCTGACAGTAGCAGCTTTTTTCATATCGCCGCTGATGCCAGCCTAGTGTGACCCGTGCTTTAAGCACGGGTCACACTAGGCTGCTCGGCAGCCGCTGGTAATCAGCGGCTGGCACCAGCACCACCAAGCAGCGGCTTTTCCACGGGTCACACTAGGCTGCTTGTTAGCCGCTGGTGATCGCGATATTAACGATGTGTGAGAAGGAAAAGAACAGCTTTGAGGTTTTGTAACAAATCACTGTAGCTGCTTATTTGATGTATTACTTCTTTAAAGAAACGTCCCACAATTACTGTATGTTTAGTTTTGGAATCAAGAAATCAATAACGTGCTTCCCCGACCACCTAAGCTCAGTAATTTCTATGCTACACTCCTACACTACTTTAATCGCCTAGTTTAAAGCTCAGTTCTTGTCGCCATTTCGTCCTTTTTTGGGTCCTCATCCAGCACTACTTAATATTGAGGATGTATGTGAAAGAGAAATAATTTTATTAAAATATGCTTAACTGCAAGAACGTGCAAGAAATAGACGTTAGTGGATCAGGCCATGGATATGCCTACAAATAATTTATAAATAAAAATACTTTTTAAAAATACCACTTTTTAAACACACTAAAAAAAAGAATCAGAAGAAACATACCAAAATGTTTTACGAATGTCGCCAGTCACCACATACATTCCAGGCATTAACTTACTAGTAGTTAAGCCTCTAATTAAAAAATTGAGACAGTTGCTTTTGTCCTTTTGGGTTAAACAAGTTGGAAACTATCTTTGGTCGCCGCTGGCACGCTTCTAGAAGTGTTCAGACTACGCTGCTCGCTGGCGTCAGCGAGTGCGAGTGGTCACGTGACCTCTAGTCGCTGCTGCCTCGCTACCAAAAGTTGAAAATGTCCAACTTTGCCAGCCGCTGACAAATACTCGCCGGCTGACGGTGCCAGCTGCGAATTTTGTGGTCACATCAAGCTGACAGTAGCGGCTTCTTTCAATTCGCCGCTGATGCCAGCCTAGTGTGACCCGTGCTTTATCCAATCAATAGTGTTATTAATACTTATGAAGTCAAACGGAACGGGGTGAAGCCCGTGGGTAACAGCTAGCTGTCTAGTTGATATAAAACACGTGTTTGAAAGTAATTCGTTTGATGCTTTAAATGAAAATGTTAGGCATTTATTTTATGAGTTATTTAATTTTTCATACAACATATCTATGGAACATGACAATAAATTATTCTCTTTAGCGTTCCTTAGCGAAGCACGGGTATGGCGGCTAGCCTACCTCTATCCAACCTAGTCTATTTCGCAACGGGTACACAAGTTCAGAACACATTTAATTGTTTGATGTAATAATTAAGTCAATAGCCCAAAAGTAAACACATCCGATTTATTGTGCAAGCTATGTTCAATTGTGTCAATGTGGATAACCTGAAAACCAGTCAAACGGTTACATGGAAATTGTGGGAAATTTTGCTCTACAAGTGCCTGCTGCATCCCTGCATTTATCCCACTTAGCTAGATTTATCCAACAGTGTTGTCATATTGAGGGAGTAACACTAAATTCAGGGGCGTAATCTCGCTGAATAAAATTAAAAGTCTGCAGCAACACCTACCTATTTCAAATTTTAAAGACAGCTTTGTCTGGAGCTCCGTTTTTATATATTCTACTACTGTATTTAACTTATGGATTTTATTTTGTACCTTTTATATGTGTTATATTTAGCTAGTAATCTTAACATATAAAAGTAAAAAAGCACTCACTCAATGATTCATTACTAATTCAACTTCCAGACTAGCTAGAACGTTGAAATTTGGTGTACTGATTCTTCAGGCATTAAATAGGAAAACTAAGTAGTTTTTATCCTGATCCGACTTTTGGGTTCCACCCAAGTGGTTCTGGAGTTTCCTTGTTAACCTTATAAGTATCTATATTATTAAAAGACTTTGTTGGATTTTGTGTGCAGCAAATTGGCCTATAAGTTTGAATGTTTATAGGCATATTGGGTATCCATATATTAAATATAGATACCCAATATATTTAATAGGAAAACACTAGAATAATAACATTTTGCATTGGGACGACAATCCATGTATACGGTGTAGATGTACAAAGTTGGGATTTTGCAAAGTTCTAAATTCAAGGGTGGTTTAGGGGATTAAAGCTATTTCAGAAGAAATTCGAGTATGCAAGATATTATATTTTGGTCTGAAAACTTATAAGCTACAATGCTTGGATCTTAAATCTTATGGAAGATCGGTAGTGTAGAATTAAATTATCCACAACTTTTTTACTTCAAGAGTGTTTTTCTATCTCAAACATCTTTCGAGTAAAATAGGTTTACATTCAAAACTGTGAAAATTTGCTTGTTCCTCCACCTAAAAACTAGTCAGTGTCCGTACGTTTAACCATATGATTACCAATCTTTTATTTTATTAAATAGCATTATTTATTATATAATAATAATGCATAAATCAATAAAAGCTGTTAAAAACCTACCAAGTGTACTATCGCAAGTATAGCTACCGACATTATTACATTTTAGGAGCTTGCTCCCGTAAACATTTGAAATCTTCTATTCTAAAGCTTCAATTCAGTATAGGTTGTTATCATTAACCGGAACAGCTGCTACACAATTTGTTGTAAAACGGTGATAGTTTTCGTTAAACGTTAATAGAGTCAATCTTCTTATATTTAAAAATAAATTTAACCGATTTTCATGATTGAGGTCTCAAATTGAAGGTGTGCACAGATTTCACTCTAAGCATTTACTGTATTACTCGTCCAAAAACATATATTAAACATTTCGAATTCTTACTTCAATTTAATATGCATTTCACCAGTTATAGTTATATAATCCTACATATTTTGGTCTAAGAACCTTCAGTGAAATGCCAGCTTTCATTTAAGCTATTAATTAGTTATCCAAATCGGATGGACTACAAGCAATTGCAATGTGAACAACCAACATACTGTATAAATTATTTTTTATAAGGGTTTTCTATGATTAAAAATCAATAGTTCCACTACGCAAAATAGTAAGTTAATTAAAGGTTTTAATTTGAACTATTTATCGTTTGAATCAGTTAAGATCAAGATACTCAATAAACATTTCTAAATTTGATTATTGCTCGAATATGATTTTAATTTTCAACGTTGTAGAGTAGCATGGGCCCTCTATTAGTTATTTTAAATGTACAGAAGGGACAACGAAATTCAAGAATAATATCAAATCAAGAGCATGCCGAGACAGTAACGGGGAACATCATAATACAGTATATATCACTAAATAAAATAATGTTTTTGTGTTACTTTTAATCCTACTTTAGACTATCTGAAATACTTTTCAATAAAGTAAGAGAAAACTAACTGTACCATTGGAAAATTTGGCTTGGAGTATGATTATGAATGAAAGGAGATATGAATACTTTAGTATTTTTGGTAAAAACATCATTCAGGTTGTTCCAGAGAGGGTAGTTCCGTTCCGTAGCGAATCCAGTGACAACTTCAGCAGGCTTATAGTAAAGAATAAAAGACGAAAAAGTATGTCGGACGATGCCAACGGCAACAGCTAGTTAATTAATAAAATCTGACCCGTTAATACTGTAGATTTAGTTACAATAGAAAGTAGCCTAGCAGATGCTAGCAGTGACCCAGGGGCATGGAGAGAAACAGGTTCGCAAGATGATCGACTTAATATCGTATTTTGTTATTTACAGTATTTCACCTATGAAAAGTTCAAACTAGATATTTTATACATATAATTTCCTTCGGCATTTATACTGCCTACTTTGTAGCCGTAAATATCGGAATTACCCACATTACCCTTGTATGGGAATGTTTATTGCTCCAGACTTTTGGGTTGTGAGCACTGTAAAAACTACTTCTTCTCCTGCCTGCAGGTTATGTTTGTTTTGTTTGTGGATTCGTGTTGTTTTGTTTGTTAGTTGGTTGGTGTTGGTGTTCTTAACGTCTTGTTCGAAGGCCTATCGAAATTTATTTTGATTGTCCATAGAAGAATTAACTTTTTACGAGGCGATACAATTTTTAAAATTATTTAACTATCATTTCTTAAGGACTGGTATTTTTTCCAGTAATAGTTTCATGGGGATATTAATCCGTAGTTGATATCCCCAGTGTTAAGTGTACAACATACAAGCTGTAAAGTAAAGTGTATCCTCGCCTTTAAGGAATATAAAAACCAAGTAGTCCTACCTGTAATTAAGCTACATTGGGCCTACAGTTAAAACTCCTAAATTAAAATGACATCGGTTTCATCTCCCTCCGTTGAACTAAGCTCTTACAGAGATCAACACTTTAAGGTAAGTCAGTGACCAGTCGAGTGGTCAGTAGCCTATGATGAATTAATTAGCCTAATGTTTTCAAAATTGTCTTAACTTGTAAATTACCCTATTTACTTTCAAAGGATTCAATGGATTCATTTGCCATTGAGTACAAAAATACAATAATTTTGGCTTTGGTAGGCTATTTGTTGCGACGAACGTGACCATGGGAACCTCTATAGGGAAATTGTTTAGATGGGGGTGACCAAGTGTTCTATAGTAAGTTATATATCATTGGAAACTAGATTTTCACCTGAAAATAATGGTGCAAAAATTTTTCTGCTGCCACAAAAACTGAATTTACTACGATTTTTTAAAGTTTATTACTGTAATGCATCTTGTCGGCTGGTCTCTGTCGCCATAACAGAAAATATCCTCATAACTTTACTGTGAATTGACAAAGAGGACAAGGAGGTAGAGGCATTTATAAATTTAACTGAGCGTTGATTATGAACTACTTCAGTTCTTATTTAGACATGTGAGGTGGGTAGGTTGGGTGTTATGCGGACTCGTGACTGTATTAAGTGTTTTGAAGTTAGGTTAGATTAGGAAGGTAAAGTTTAGGTTATAATGAATCGAGTTGTTGATTTATATTATCTCCAGACTGTTTATGCACTTTGTTAAAAGTACTACTAACAGAATAAATAATAATTTCATTATAACCTAAACTTTAACTTCCCTAATCTAACCTACCTTCAAAGGACTTAATACAGTCACGAGTCCACATAACATCCAACCTACCAACCTCACATGTCTTTTTCAACTAATAGAATCTTAAACTGTACGAGAAGTTTGGTTAGGTTAGGTTAGGTTAGAATAGTGTCAATTTGTTGTTTATTCATTTTATTAAAACTGCCACTACACTAAATACTTATGGGACATAACGGTTACATGGTCAAAACCTAAGCTAAGCCATTCGGTTAAGTGAAGAGAAGAACTAAATGAATTCCTTCTTCAATGTTCATAATCCAGTCCCCAGATCCAGATTAAATCAGAACTAGGGGTGTTTATTAATGTTAATTAATTTTAATCAAATAATACATAAGTTATAGCCTACTTAAATTAACATAATCACCTTTCTAAGTGTGGGTTGTGAGGGTAATATTTACATTAAAATGGCATATAATCAATCAATAAAAATGTTAATTGTGCTATTAACTTCGATTATACAGTTTAAACATTGTAGGTAGTGCAGATTCAATGTTCCTGATATAAAACATTAAAATAAACTTCAAAAAATCGTAGTAAATTCAGTTTTTGTGGCAGCAGAAAAATTTTTGCACCATTATTTTCAGGTAAAAATCTAGTTTCTAATGATATATAGCTTACTATAAAACGCTTGGTCACCCTCATCTAAATAATTACCAATGGTACAAAAATTTGTCTGCGCTCTCAAATATTAACGGAGTTACGGCTGTTTTAAGCTTTATTTACTGGTACCTATTTTGTTTTTTGACCTAACCTATTTATAAGCCTATTGATATTAAAATGTTAATTGTAAGTAATTAAAGTAGAAGAATCACTTTTTACCAGGAAATAACAGTGCAAAAATGTCTCCGACGCCACGAATATTAACTAAGGTAGGCCTAACTTAAGATAATTTGTCGTTTTACACAGCAAGTTTGGTTTGGTTAGGTTAGTTTAGAATCGTTTAATTTTAATAATAAAATGATTCATAGACTACCTAATCAACGTGTTATTTAAGTCAATAACACAATTACTCATCCCCTGGTTATATTACCAAATGTAAAGCACAGTTCATTACTAATATGTTTAATAATACTTTACTGTAGTACTCTCTTATTATATTTAACAAAGTGTTATGACACTAGCACTCAAGTGTCACCAACATGAACTAGACATGGAAAAAACTTCAGATTTTAGAATGGAATGAGAAGTCTAACATTGTTTGTTGGCGTATGTTTAATAGTAGTTGTTAGCTAGTTGTTAGGCTTTAGAAGTATCCCTACATAAAAATCCTTATTCTAGGTATAAGGATTCAAAAGGGCATAAAAGCTACATGGTTAAAGTAACAATGTTGGCCTATTTTGTGGAGTGAATTGGATTACTGGAACTTGGAACTGGATTTTGTCAATTCCATCATGCCTCCGCCAGCCGCCACTCCACTAACCATTTCACTTATCTGCGTACAGATTAGCTATCTTGTTTCCCGAACGTTCTTTATGCTGAAATTAATAAGTTTGTGTTAATTTAACCTATTGATTGTTAGTGTGAGTCTAATATTTACTTAAAATCACTTACATATTACATAAATTTAATAGTTATACAAAGTTTCTGGTGAGGAAATATTGTCAATTAAAATAGACTAGTCAGTAGACTTACAAAGGTAAATAAAACTTAAAACAGCCGTAACTCCATTAATATTTGTGAGCGCGGAAAAATTTTTGCACCGTTATTTTCAGCAAAAAATCTAGTTTCTGGTGATATATAAATCTATGTAGGTTCCCATGGTCACGTTCATCGCAATAATTACCTTGGCTTTATATTTCTGCCCTAATACATTTAGGCCTATAAAATAAAGTAAGTTAAGTTTAAGGCTATCATAAAATAAATAAATATGACAATTCATCTCAAAACAATTAAACTGTCTTAGCGATGAAATAAATAATGGTTGCAAATCATAGCCTACTTAAGTTAGCAAACCATGCGGAAGAAATTTTAAAAGAAAAACTCAAGTAGGTACATCCTTGGGAAAAAGGGTAGGCCTGGGCCTACTTTGGTAGGTTAGATTAGGGAAAGTTTAGGTTATAACTAGATCCGTGTTGTTAATCCATGTTACTTCCAGACTGTTTTTGCACTAGTATTGAAGTAGTGGGTGAATCTTAGTAAATTATAGTTTTTTAAATGCTTGTGAGACAGTGTGATGATAAGTTAATTGGGCAAGCCAGTGTTGGCTCTGACTCAGCAATGTGGGGCGTACCTAAATAAATAAATAAATAATAATAAATAAAAATGCCTTTATTGATCAAGCGTTTCTCAGTACAACTGCTTTTCAGAACAACTCTCGTGATAACTTATAACAAACAATAACTAACAAACAAATAAATAGAAACAATAACAAAACAGAACAAGAAAGTATCAATAACAACTAATCATAACAGTACAATTCCTTAATTTTGGCTCTAAAAGATGGCAAGGCATATTTTTTGAGGCCAGAGGGGAGGTCGTTGTACAGCTTTGGGCCGAAGTACGAGAAGCTTAACTCCTTCCAAACTCAAGCCTCACTCTTGGAAAGTGAAGCTGGAGACCTCCATGGCGGGTACTGCGCTGAGAGACCTCCTCCCGGAAAGAGAGCCTCTCAAGATGGTACTGTGGCTCCTGTAGGACTAGAGCCTTGTGCACCATGCAGCACGTCATAATCCTGCAAACAGTGTCTACTGTTGTCATCCCCGCTACAGCTCTAAATGGAGAGACATGTTCAAATCTTTTGAGCCCAAAAATGAAACGAATTGCAGAATTTTGCAGTTTTTGCATTCGGTACATGTCTTCTCCAGAGATGCTGTTTCCATAAGCAGGGAGACAATATGTAAACACGGACAGAACCAGTGACTGCATGGTACAGTACCTACTGTATCAGCCCGACTTACCACCACATCAGCTAGGGTAGTTTAGTGTGTTGTAAACCTTTTGTATGCTATTAACTGCACCAAACTCTTTTTCTTAGGTTATTTAGGCCTAATTGTGATTTTGTTCCTTCCCAATTAATCTGTTAAGTGGTTCTTAACCTCTACCTATAGCCTATCTCAAAATTTTCTGATGCTCAAAAATTATCCTACTGATAAATTGTTTTAATCTACAAATTCTTTTCCAGGGTTCAAGAGGTGAACAAGAAAGACTGTTAAGAGTTTCTTCAACGCTTTATGTTGGAAATTTGTCTTTCTTCACAACCGAAGAACAAATTTACGAACTCTTTTCAAAATGTGGAGATATCAAACGAATCATCATGGGGTTGGACAAATACAAAAAGACACCGTGTGGCTTCTGTTTTGTCGAGTATCCTTTTGACCAAAGCAGATAGTAGCAGAGTTTGTGAAGTTTAATCCTAAATATTCTACCTGTGCTCACACCTCTAGACTACGTCTCAATCAAGTACCTAATAGATTATGGTTGTTCCAATATTTTATAAAAATAAAATTAGGCTGTTCAATTAATTTATTGCTGAAAGCCAACAATATCATTTAGTAATTCTTGTAGTTTGAGTTTTGCAACAATAACCCCCTTTTCTTCATTAAAAAATTAACACTGCATTCCATAACAATAGTACTCCTCTGTACTACAACATAATCAATCCATTGTAGTCCTTAGACAGAAACCTTTCTCAATTTTATTTCTTATTAATTTTTTGTTAAGTTTTTGTCTTTATTCAATATTAATGGGTTTCTTGTTCGGATGTAATACCTTTACTTGATAATTCTTATTACAAATAAGAAGACAGACTGTGGAATCATGGATGCTTTCTTACAAATAGTTAATCAGTTCTGCACATCCTAACACCACAACAACTTCCCTTGAGTTTCATTGACAAGTTCCACACGCACCACTGTGAAAATCCAAAGGTCAAAAGAGATTATCACCTGTGCTTACCAACACTTGACAGATCATTTTCTTAAGGCCTATCTCGTATCTCTAAATGAACGTCTCCGTAAAACTCTGCATAAGCACCAGGGCTGGATTTACAAAATACAGGCAATTAGGCTCCAATGTTGCAGAAAGCTATATGCTTGTAGTTAGAGGGGAATACCCCTACCAATAAAACCCAAATAAAGGTAATAAGGTTATTATTAACCTCCCAATAAAAGGGGGTGGAAATGTGAAGATAGGTGCAAAAAGTGATTTCTAATTCTAAGGAAGTCAAATATTATGTTGATACTAGAGGTTATAAAATACCTTTAATCTGTCAGTGTGGTCGACGTCGCCGATGAGCAGCGACCGGTTTTAATCTTCACTGATGAGCGGCTACAAGTTTCAATCTTAACGCGATAAAAGAACATAAATTCACTCCGACGAGGTCCTCATAATGACTATAATTACATATCAAACAGTGGTGTCATGGACATTTTTGCAATGGTGGAACGGTGCATCTGGCCCAGAAATGAGGCATATTATTTTAGATCAAAACAAAATTTAACAGAACTTTAACTTAAAATGGCGAAGGCCTACTTTTAAGTCATCAAGAAAATAACGAATCAATAATTAGTAGGCATATTTTATATAGTCTTGTATCAGGTATGTACATGTGTAGTCGTGGGACAGGACGATACGGTACCTACTTTTTTTTTAGGATATTACATAAATTAACACATGGGACCAGTGTTTTTCCAATAACTCAACAATAACTGTATGGGTTTTAACAATTTTGAATAGTATTGAAATCAGTTATACCTCTCCTCCAATGGCGGAGAAATTGTAAATGTCTCCCGTGATGGTGATGAAATGGTGAACATCTCCTGTGATCGCAGTGAAATTATGATACCTTACAACCTTCACGATCGCCAGAAAATCATGAACACCTTCGCGAACACATCAAAATATCCGATGTTAGTAAGTTCTCATACAATGGTGAGCATTTACACTCAAAAATTTTCGACTACACCACTGAACTATCTTACCATTTACGATAATAAAACATTAGCAGTAACATTATTTTTTAAATTGTAACTTTGGTTCAGGCCACTTTGTGGCGCAATTCCCTAGACATGCGTCTAATTCACCTATGCTTAAATCTGGCCCTGATAAGGGCAATGTCACGTACCATCAACTTTTTTTGCACTTTTTATAATCTTTTCTTGGTAATTTAATTCATAATTTGGTTGTACAGGTTCTAAATATGTGTTAATTGATACATAACTAGTCTACTTGCTAGTGAGTGTCACTTGCGTAAGTCCTTGACAGAGTACCAGGTACTACAGAAGAGCCGATGCGGAGAACTGCATGAGGTATATTAATGGGACCCGACTGGACGATCGGATAGTCCGAACTGACTGGGACGCTGGGTTTGTGGAGGGCAGACAATACGGGCGCGGGAAAACAGGCGGACAGGTGATTACCTCCAAGATAATCATTTGTAATGGTTAAGGCCTTTTCACACCGGCGTACTGGACGTACTGTACGTGTGGTACGTTTTTTTTTCAACAAATTGCCCATGTTATCATATGAGCTCGTTCACACCGCGCGTACAGAACGTACTGTACGTCCAGTATGTACGCGATGGTTTTGTGTGAATCGTTCGGAGAGCGATTTTTCTAAAACGTACGTGGCGTACATGGGGTCGCGCATGCACAGTGAACACTTCCAAACCACGTGCTCAGCCAGTGTTACTTGTCTGACTGCAAACGAACAAGTGTACGTTTTGGAAGTTTCTGTGTGGTGTGAAAGGACCGCGTACAGTACGTACTCTACGTACAGTATGTCCAGTACGCCGGTGTGAAAAGGTCTTTAGGTTAGGATATTTAACATATTGCTCGGAAAGTCGCCAACAAATTTCAAGAAGTTCTGACTGTTCCGTTCTCCCAAGCCACATGAGGATAGCAGTAGGCTTGTAAATGAAAATATACTCTATTGATTTTCTACATACTATTTAGCTTTATGAAAACCTTCATCTTTTGCCTCATTGACCCCCCTTCATACTTTCCCTAGTTAGAACGCATTCCATATCTCGATGGTTAGATTTCCTTCATCCATTCTAACACATGGTCCATACTAATCTTGGTCAAAGTAATATAATCTAAACAATTTGCTATACTATTTCGGATTGAAAGATCCAAAATACAGTAGTATTAGTAGGCTTAAGTTTTGCAATATGGTTTTAGACTTTATGTAAAACGTTGAAATTAGTTTTTCTTGTGTGCTCAGACTAATCTGTTCTCACGAAATTTAGTTTTGTAAAAGTGGCATTTTTCTTCCTAGTTAGAATCCTAATCCTATCACTGCTGCTTGTGCATTCCGTTGTCGGATTGGAGAACAAAGTGACAGTTTGGTTCTGTTGAGTATCACTCTCTAGGTTGAATTCCGAAACGTTTATGTCGCAACACAGGGATTATTAAAATTCTACCATCACTACAATTAGAGAAAACTGTTTCCCTGTGTTTGATCTGCCAAACTTGTGTCTGTACTTGACTCAGAATCAGGTACTACACAAGACCTGATGCGGAGAACTGCATTAGATATATCAACGGAACACGACTTGACGATCGGATTGTCCGAACTGACTGGGATGCAGGGTTCGTGGAGGGCAGACAATATGGACGTGGTAAAACTGGCGGACAGGTAAATCAATCAGTTCAGATGAGTTTGTGAATGAATAAAATATATTGGTGTCATAGTGATATACTTCTTGTTAATTTTTATCATTAACTTGTATTCTTATTATTATTTAATTGGATTTCAATTTTGTCCTTGTTCAAGAAAGCCAAATCAACTCCAAGTTATCTCTGCTTCATTGCAATCAATTAATCGATTAAGAAATTTATTTAACACAATAATTACCAATGCAAAAGTCAAAATGCATAAACCATAAATGTTTTGTCTGTGCTAAAATTATTATTACTTGTATACTATATAGTTTTGTCGGTTCAAACCAGTAGCATGCAGTTTTCTGAGTCCTTCACTATCTCTTGATCAATTAATAACAATAAAAAAAGACAACAATGACAAAAATATCTGTAAAAATTTGACGGTAACAATAATAAATAACATGTAAGAATAAATAGCAATAATCTGAGTTCTATGTAGTTGAGCCAATCCATCTGGTATTGATTGTAAAGAGAATCATCACAATTATGACTAATCCAAAGCTTTTATAAATGTAATTGGTTCAACAAAGTTCTCTCTTTTAAGGGGGGCTGAGAGGAGCGAGCTGGTCTAACGATAGAGCCTGGACCAATCTTGCCAATCACCATTGGGGTTTATCTCATTGATAATGCCACAACCTCTAGGCCTATCCTAAAGTAGTTACAAAAACATCGGGAGCTGCATGCAACCTTCTGTTGCAGCCCAGTATTTACACACAGCTAAGCTACATATGGATTGAACATGTACGGGGTTTGAATCTGCACATGTAGAAAGACCTCAACGCTACATTCCTCAGTGCTACACCTTAGCCAACTAAACTACCATGCCACTGTCCACCGAACGCACAAGCACTCACAGGCTAGATTCAAGGAACTAATGCCCCGAGCTGTATTCGGGCTTAGGGCTTTAAGTATTGAGATATATTTTTTTATCAATTGGGTTATGCCCAAATCAAGATGTGGTTATGTGAAAAGATTCACCTAACAGCATTTTTTACTTAACAACACGAGTAACGGTCCAATGAGGTTCAAGGATTGAGAGAAAAGAAATAAAATTGTAATCCTTCAAACTTAAACTAATCAGGTGTTACCAATTTAATTGCCAATGATCTGTGCAATTAGAGGTTGGTACAATCAGTCCTTGCATCACTGTCAGTGGCATTGAGAGGTTATAAACTAAAACATAACCTCCCCTGGAATTGAGTAGTTATTGTTGTAATTAAAAAACGTTGTAGTTAAAGTAGTGTACTATGCAACTCGTGTAAATAGTCTTAACGACACTCTTAGAAGTTTTTAAGGCACTCGTCACAGCTCGTACCTTAAATTTCTACTTGTGTCTTTAACACTATCTTTACGCGATTGTCAGAGTAAACTACTATTACAATTACTTATGGACTTATTTTTTATTAGGTAGCTGGTAGCTTACATTTTATTTGTTCAACTAATCTAAAAGTATTGTTCACTAATTTTAGTAATATAAATAACTTCTTAGGTATACCTGAAAAATAGGCCTACATTCTTTTTTATTTAAATAATCTATTGCAAACATGCAGTGCCCTATTGCATACATTATAATTCATGTTGACATACAGAAAAATCCAAACGATGTGTTTGTTTTTAATTTATTTTAGACATTTGAAAAGTCGAGTAGGCTACGTTCTTTAATAGATTCACTAAACTCGTAAGCTGCCCCTGACTCTAGTTACAAGTCTGATCGCGGCTGGTTCTGAGTTAGTGTGGATTCGTGGTTTAACGGGTTGCAAGTTAAGTCAGACCACACCTATCTTTAATCGATAGAGACAATCAACTTTTTTTCGGCCAATGGCATGTAAGTTTAGTTATTCAGACTCTATCAGCCAATAAGGTTTCAGTTTTGCAAGTCGAACTGTAGGTTTCTTGAGTTCGTATAAGTTTGGCATCCTGCATATGAGTTTGGGTCTGACTGGAGTTGAAAACAAACTGGCTCGAGTCTGTTCTAAACTCGAGTTGACTTGAATTGTTAACTCAACTTGTCACTTTATTAATTTATCCCCAACTCACTCAAGCTAGACATTCTGTGTCAGTAATAAAAAAAAAACATAGTTCTTAAACCCTTAAAACTACTCTTCTATAGAACACATTTTGAAAATATTGAGATTAAGAGGAAGGCTGTTTGGACCTGCTTAAGCTAAGGCTGTGAAAAGTGTACTTTTCTATACTTGTATACTTGACTACTTGATGTCTTCATCTTTGAACGATATTATCGGATAGATTGCGTCAATTTAATTACAATATACAATTTTTTACAAAACTAATATTTACAATCACTACAGAAACTTTGTGGAAAGGCGGTTTGGATTCTTTAGGGCTAGTTTGAATATTCATCAGGATGGAAAGAATGACTCTTCAAGCTCGGCCAACGAGTACAACAGCCTTTTCACAAGCGCTTTCTCGATTTTGTTGCTTTTATCAGAGTGTAAGTAGGCCTACTCAAACTCTGATGTATAATTTAGCCTATTTAAACTTGTTGATACAAAAAACTCAATAACAAGACCAGGATTTGGACCGGTCACTTTTATAAACGTATGGTGTAGAAAACACAGAAAAGGACATCGTAGTAAGCCTCTCTAGGCAGATACCAGAACTGGGTGCCCCAGCATCGCGCATGTTATACTTGTCTTTTCGTTGTTGACCAATGGAAATTGGATTGACTGCGTCAGAAGAGTGTTGTGGCTATTTACTGCCTAAATAGAGGTGTTCCATCTTTAACTTTCTAAGAGTTCTTCTGAGTTCTTATACTTCACTAAGTACTCCATCAGTTGTTTCTTAAAAGCCTTCAGATTCAGGTCTTTTACTTCGGTAGATCTTCACAACTGACGGAGGATAGGCTCGCTGTGTCATACTAAGGTGACATCGGGGTATGTACAAATCTACGAGTACCATGGACATGATGGCTCCCTCTTTTCTTAGTATTCAAGGTTTACTCTTGGCGTAGTTATAATGCTGTAGACGTACTGACTGAAAATTGTGAGGATATTCAAGTGTATGAATAAAGGCCTACAGGGGTCCAAATGGACTGCCCTCTTCTGAAGGAGTAGTAGGTCCTGAGTATCTACAGAATGTCCCCAGACCACAATCTCATACATAAGGTGGCTGTAAAAGAGCGTGTGGTAGACAGTTACCAAATGTGACTCAGTCAACACAGATTTGATTTCTCTAAGAGCTTTACGGCACTTTCCTACCTTGCATCCGTCTGCTGGATACACACAATCGACTGGGTTTCTCGTCATTGAGCTTGAGTTTATTCATATTAAACTACACTATACCATAAACAACAACTCACGTAAATTTGATTTGAATATGTAAAAAATTTCTGTATAGCAATGTACTACAACATCTATGTTTTCTTCATAAAGGATCTAGGCTACTTCTAAAACTGTGTGACTATCAATATCCCTGTTTAATGATCTTAACCTACCTTGAATATTAAAGGGGAAACAATAATAATAAGATCTCTCTTCTTTTTAGATTATGATTGCAGATTTGAAGTTTTAAAAGTTCAAGTTATGATGATTGGATTCATATTCTCCTTTAAGTTTCAGTGCCACATGAAGTTTTTGCAGTTAGTAACACATGGTATTTAATTTTAATTTCCATTTTTTAAATTATTGATTACCTTTATGTTCATGTTGTATTTTGCAGGTGCGTGATGAATACCGCACAGACTTTGACGGCGGCCGAGGCGGCTATGGGAAGATCATCCAGCAGAAGGTAGCCACGCCTGAAGTTGCAGCTTTCCGATAATCAGCTGACAACAATCCCGACTGACGACTTCAGACATCAATATCGATTGTATTAAAGTATGATACTCCATACTCAAACATTTTTATACAATAACTTTTTACTAAATATCATCCAAAAACATAGAGAAAGATACTGTTGTATTGTAGCATCTATTATTTGTACCGGGGAATGAGCATTGATCGATGTTGCTTTGTTGAAAAGGTTACAAATCATAAAACATACGAGTACAACTATAATACAATAATATCACCAAGTATTGGTGCTATCTATACATCATTTTGTCATTGTACATAATTCAAAACCATTGTAAATAAACATGCATTACTGATAAAGCCAACAAAAAACAGTATTTGAAACAGCATGAAGGTTTATAGGTAGTGATGTAAAATACCCAGGTATTTAAAACTCGGGGTAAATACCCTGGGTATTTACCCGGGTAAATACCCAAAATCCATAAATACCCGGGTATTTATGAAATCGATTGAAATTCATTTTTATCTACCCCTAAATATGTTATTGTTATCATTACATGATAAATTAGGATAGTCTATTTCACCTTTTACAGTAACTTGAAGCTTTGCAGAATTGCTAGTACCTTTTATTTAATGATTTAGCACTTTTTTTATGAAATCAAGACAACACCTCATCAGAGAAATAGTGAACCTAAATCTACTTCTACTGTTATTAAAACTGTTAGTTAAAATTTGTATTGTGTAAATGGCTTGGAAGGCAAGACAGACCCAAGGCCTGATTGATACAGGCAGAATGGCAGAATACTGAATGTACAGTAGACTCCCTCTTATCCGGACTCCTCGGGACCGAGGCTAGTCCAGATAACGGGTTTTCTGGTTAAACCAACGTCCCCAAAAACTTGTTAAAACAGAAACCGTGTACTGGTACTGTCATATTCGACTTTAATTTAGGAGAGCATTGTATTTAGATACGTGATCACTGGTCTCAAATCTTTCCCACGAGAACAGTCGTTTCAGTACCGCTCACTTCTTGCCAATCTAGTCAGGTTAAACCAATGGGCTGATAAAAATTGTCCGGTTAAAAGGTGTCCGGATAAGAGGGGGGTCTACATTAAACTTTTCTGTGTTACCGCTTAGTTGGGAACAATAATATATTTGGATAAACCTATTAAAAAATGTATCTCCTGTTTTTTGGTCTAACTTAGGGCCTATAATATATGTAATGTTGAAAGATTTATTGTGCTATAGATTCAAATTTTTTGTATCACATGTTTATGAAATTAGTTTTTTATTTTTTATTTTATTTTTTTTATATAGCTTAAGTTTACCAACAAAAGATCTAGAACAAAAATATTATTAAATCCTGCCTGAAAAAATTAATTGAATTTTAATTATTTTCTTAAGTTGTTTACACATAGGCCACTACTAGGTTAAATTTCTGTCTTTCTAAATAATAATTATTACTTTACAAATTATTTTTCTTTACTTTTAATAAAATAAATTCATCTATCTATCATAGAAATTAAAAAATCATAAGCAGTCAGGACCAGTGCAACCATGCGACCAGGGTATTTATGCCGATTATGCTTTATGCTCAGACCTGGGTATTTATGGCGATCATACCGAGAAGTAAAATGCTATTAGTGACCATATGAAATTTTGTTTAACACATTTTATTATCATTTTGCTATCCTTACAAGGTAATAATTGCAAAAAAACATCTCAATCTTCTCTAACCTTAATACAAATTATAAATACCCAGTTTTTGGGTATTTACCCGGGCCTGGGGTAAATACCCAGGTAAATACCCAATTTATATTTACCTACCCACTGGGTATTTACCCGGCCCACATCACTATTTATAGGCCTATACTGTATTTGAAATCGAGCTACCTCTTGTCAATCATGCATGCTAGACAATAGACATATCGTACAGTTTTGTTCTGAGCCTACAGAAAATGTAATTTACTTACCCAGCAATGATAAATCTATTCTTATAAATATATTGACATGTAAACCTACAAAAATACTAAATAGTTATAAAATACTAGGGAGGTCTGCGAAGCATCAAAATATTTTTGATTTGAAGCAGTAATTCAATTCAAAAGATATTCGATTCGAAGCAATACGGCATTTTTCTATTCTTACTTGTCAATGGAGTGGATTAACAATACTTTAATTTATTACATTTGTGTAATGCAAATTTTTGTTGATGTGGTATTAGGCCTATTCATAATATAACATATGAATTTTATGTGAAAAAATATTTATTTTCAATCATATATTAGAATAACCTGTATTGCTGGAAATGTCAGTGAGCTGCTTAACTTGCCTATTTCATAACTTTTACTTGCAGAATCATATTGTTAAGCGTGTTACCTATTTTATAATATTGATTTTACAAATAAATATATATGTTTTGGTGTAAACAAATAAAACATTTGTATGATTTATACAACTTTCAATTGGTTTGCATTGATGAAATGAGAGGATAGAATCTACAAAAATACCAAATTTAACACTCTAAAACATCAATCTTACTAGTTAAGTATCAAGTAACAATTTTTCAGACTTATTTTTAGAATGATTTTGGATTAGCCTATCTTGTTTTGGCTATGTTCACAGTAGTAAAACATGTCTCACACTGCTTACACTTAACAAGATTTCTCATCATTTGCAATGTCAAACTAAAAAATTATAAAACAGTTAAAGCAATATTTACATGAAAAGAATTAATTAAACAAAAACGCCTTCGTAAAGGAAACACAACATCAACGCACTCCTGTATTGCGGGTATTGTGTTGACTTTCTGCAGGCGTTTTTCGTATATGGATACTGATACCCCCATGAATCTAATCGTTTTTTGACCACCACTGAATGGAATCGCAATTTGACGCATTGAATCAGAATTTCGAAGCATCGTACACCCCTATAAAATACCCTCACTGCAGAAAACATGCACACAAATTTAATTTCTATATAACTGGTTGGATTTTAAATTTCAACCTACAGTAATTGTAATTATATTATTTATCGGTTCCACCTGGAAATTTTCCTCATTTTCAATTTTGCTATATTTAATAAAGTAAGAAACAAGAATGTGAATTTCTCATCTGTAAACAAACCATCCTAATTCTTTATTTAACTAACAAACATTTTTATTTTACAACTCTTAATGACAATCGCATGATATTAGTCGTAAACTAAGATGTTTCTAACAATTTAGAGGAAATATTTAGTGAGAAGTTTTTGAAATCATCATTACAGGATTTATTCAATAACTTCCTTCCTCATTGCCAAACCATAGCAAATATTGGTCTCTTAAAAAATCAACTGAAAACAGCTGATTTTGGCAAACATACGTCATACAACCTAAGTTAATGTTTCCCCAAGGTTTCGATGCTGATATCTTTATCTTTGTTGTTTGATGATTTTTATTTTGCCGTCGTTGTAAATATTACGAGTATGGTGTGTACTGAATTGTGCTGTGTTGTATTTATATAGGTATAGTGAAAATAAAGTTTTGTAATTTTCAAATGGGACTTTTTATTCATAGCAAATTACTTTTTCCTACAGTCACCTGACAAAGTGGGTTTCCTTGCACAGATTATAGTACAGAAAGCCTTACTTTAGCGCACACCAGTATTCCAACCAAACAACAAAAACGGCGTGCTTTGCTTTTATTATGCACGTAATCCGTGTACGCTTGAAAATAATCTGGCAACACTTAATGATATATTTTTGTACTGTTGTGATCTGGCTAATGCAAACTGTATTATTGTTATGGTGGCAAAACAAAATGATTTGATATGATTTGACTTTTACCTACGACCATTTTTTAAAGTAGCCATTTCAGTCGAGTTCTTAGAATTGAAAAGATTCACTTTACAGCTGTTTACTTTCATATCCGCATAGTTTCATTTCATATCCGCATAGTTTTCTCATATCCACACAGGTAACGGACCAATGAGGTTCAAGTATTGAGAGAAAAGAATTAAAATTGTAATGCTTTGAACGTCAACTAATCAGCTGAATTTAATTGTTGATCCGACTTGTTCATGTTGATACTCGCGTATTCTTAATTAAGTTGGTGGAAGTCCAAAAATAAATGAAATATTTGCCGAATTGTACCTGATACAATATTATTTATGGTAAGAATGCTGCTAGCAATGTAATATTTAACAAAGTTTAACAAACACGTAATTGCAGGAAATCAGCTGATTATACAACAAGTCGTTGCATCACTTTCAGTGGCAATGACAATACACTAAAACATAACCTCTCTAAAAAGTTATCAGTAGTGATTGTTAGTAATTAAATCCAGATTGATAGTAATTAAAAAACGGTCGTAGGTAAAGTAGTGTACGCAACTCGCGTTAATAGTCTTTACGACACTCGTAGAAGTTTTTAAGGCACTCGCCAAGGCTCGTGCCTTAAATTTTCTACTCGTGTCGTAAAGACTCACTTAACGCAATCGTTGCGTAAACTACTATTGTCACACCTATTTTACTCTGCCGCACTCCAGTACTCCAACCAAACAACACAAAACAGTGTGCTTGTATTAGCCACATAATACGTGTATCCTTAAAAATAAGTTGGAAACACTTACAGATAATTTTGAATCATTGCCAGATCTAGTCCGTAGATTGCATCATAATTTATAAGAAAATAATAAAACTATATACAATTACAAAAACCATAGGCTACTTTCAAAAAACTAGGCCATTTAACGAATGGCATGGCGGACATATCTCACGAGGGGATCATCCTAAAGTTCTTTTAGGGAGTACAGCGGCCTATTTATTCATTCATTTATTCATTTAACGGTTACAACCAATACAGTTAAATACATTGTTATGCATGCTTAACAGTAACAAATAAACTGATCAAGAGTGAATACATGGACGGCTGTTCAATTATGTTAATACTCTAAATTAATACTCTAAATTAATTTACTAATATCCCTTTCAGCGCTTTCTTGAAGGAGGGTGCATCCATCTCCCGTATCCGGGTTGGCAGAGTATTATAAATTTTAATAGCTGAACGAGGATACTACTCAAGGTACAAATGAGATGGCAGTGGGGAAAGCCAATATTTTGGGCCTTCCTGGTTTAGTAATCATGCACCTCCTCTCCTAGTTTGAGCCCTTAAATTATCCTTTAGTATGGTCAGGATATCAAGCACGTACTGACTTATACTGTGAGTATACAGCTTGTTTCCCAGCCTATTGATACTACGACTTAACTTGTTCTTTCTATTTTCAGTTAACACTTGGATCAACCTATCCTAAACGTGTTGGTTATTGTTTGAAAGACCAATTATTTTATTCCTTTACTGTAGTAAAAATATAATGTGTAATACGAGCGCAAAGTGCCTTTGCTGCACATGAGAGAAATATGAGTGTGTTAAGTTTCTAGAGTGATCAAACGCACTTTGTGCACTAGTTAGATAACTATTCCATGGACATCAGTGAAATAGGTGAAAGCGGAACTTGCAAGATGTAAGGTTCAATGAATGATTTTTTTAAACTAATAGCTGGCTCCTGCTCTTAACGAAATCCGCTGACATCATCAAGACACTAACATAGATATGACCTAGTTCGCTCCAAAGCCCACACAAACCATAGGCGTACTAGTGGCATGTTTGCAGAGTTAATGGTTCTGGCGCTTGGCAAGGATACTCAGCTTGTTTACGAGCTAAAAGATCTAGCTGGTATATTCCAAACTTGCCCTGTGTAATCGAGCCTTTAGCACATTGGACTTATTTGATGTATTTTTAGTGACAAGAACTAGAATATTTGATTATTGAACGTTTGTTACCTTATAGCCTTTGTTCTTGTAGAAAGATGTTAAAATCCTCCAAAATATTTCGCCACAGTGTGTGGCATCATCAGGGAGACGAAAAGAACTATTTACACATTTTATACATATCACAAGATCGTACGCTTACGTTGCGGCGACTTAGCGAACGCGAGCGCGGGCGCGGACCCGCGACGGTCACCTGTAGGGGATCACACTAGTACCGTCACCGTCTTTGTTCACTGACCTACTGCTGAGAAGGGTTGAACATTGGACTTAGCTTTTAAAGTGAATATTTATTCAGAATTATACATTTTTACAATAAATTACGATGCAAATATTTTTAGGATTTCTCTTGTGAGTTTAGGTTTATTCGAATGGGAAAGAGTCTAAACTGTCACAAGGCATTCAAAACACATCATTAAACAAAAACAAAATATTATAATATTTCATTATAACTGACATAATTTTTAACTAAGGAAGAAAGAGTTTTCACTAAGCGTAACTAGGCTTAAAGAAAACACCCTCTTCCTCAAACATGCTCTTCCTGAATAACAGTGAAATATTCTAATGTTTTGTGTAATAGGCTAGTGAAGTCTTGTGTTTCCTGTGCCAGTGTCTTGTGTTCTATGTCTATGTTACATTCTTAATCTCAATGCAAATATTTGATATTGAACAATTTTACAATTTTAATTTGGCTTGTCCATCTGATAAGCTGAATTAGCTACTGTGAACCATAGATAGTTGAGTGTTACAGTATAAAACACCCTCTGTAGCTGGCCCTGAACAAAAGACTTTGGCACTATTCTCATGGAAGTGTGGTTCAAATCCAGCCAATCACAAAACACAATTTGCTATGTGATAATTCATTTCTTAGTGGCTTAGAGTCCGCCTAGGCGAATACAACCTATCATTTTTAAAATCCTCGTCTGCCTAGTTGGATTTTCACTCAAATACATCTCTAAAAATGTCAGATTTATGTCCTATTTAAATAAAATTTGTAATTTCATGAGTACTGAGGTTTGCTGCTACAGGGCAAGTAATGAAGTGTGTATTCACATCTTTGAGTTGCCATCATGCGGGTTGACATCTGTCCTTGCCGTCTTTGTGTAGGCGCTCCAGTACATGATACATGGGGAGTCAACCCTGCGAGTCAGCGGAAATATTTGCAGTCCGGTCTTTTCATTACCTCCACCCACCCCCTGCCTACACTGCCCGCGCTACGCCCAAGTGCCAGCTTACGTGTCATGAGCTGTACATGGTGGTTTAAAGGAAATTTTGTACAGTAGACTCCCTCTTATCCGGACACCTTTTAACCGGACATCGGTTTAACCAAACTACACTCGACGGAAATGACATCTCTTTAACTGGACAATTTTTATCAGCACATTGGTTTAACCGGACTAGATCGGCAGGAAGTGGGTGGTAAAAAAACGACTGTTCTCGTGGGAATGATTTGAAACCAGTAATCACATGTCTAAAATATAATGCTCTCCTAAATTTAAGTCGAATCACCGTAAACGGTCGAGTTTTTGGTGATGTCGGCTTAACCGGAAAACCCGTCATCCGGACTGGACTCGTTCCCGAGGAGTCCGGATAAGAGGGAGTCTACTGTACATACCTCTTTCATTTTTAATTAGCCTGTCTTTTTTCTGGTAATTTGAAATAGAGTTGCTTTTTACTTTATATCCGCGTATGTATCCAGATTTTTCAGTTGATTTATTTGGGGTAACACAAGCATCTTACCCTCTCAAAAACAGAGGCAACAACAATAAAAGAAATCTAATATAATTCAAGTTATTGAACCTGTCTAAAAAAATATAACAAAATTTATAAAATGAGCGTAGCTTAATTACCTTGATCAGCTTTAAATATCTTAAATAACTTTAAATAACATTCCTCATATATGATTTCAAGAGCAAATTTCCTTACCACTTAAGCTATTCAATTCTGTGTATTATTTTTCAAAAAATACCTTTGGGTTTTGGTCAACATTTTGGAGATTGTTTAATTTCTTGTGTTCAGATCAACGTCATCACCTGCTTCAACGAATCTCATGATAGAGTTTTGTATACAACTGCCATATATAAACAGTACCTATTCTTTTTAATGTTCCTAAAGATAAATTTTCTCAAGGGCAGTTAAATGAATTTACCCTATTATACAGAAGATAGTAAACATAAATATATCCGATACTTCGTATCATCTTGTATTTATGTCCACTGTCTTATACAGTACATGTAAACATTTTATGTATACAAATTATTTAAAATGTTATTAGATTTCTTTTTACATTCCGAAAATATAGAACCTATCTGATAACAATGTCAGCAAATCATTGAATTTTTTTACCAGGACAATATATATTAAAAAAATTATTTAGTTGAAAAACGCTCATCCGTGGAAAAAGAATGATCCGTTCTTACATCTTTGTTTGAAAAAATTGAGTACGTATAGAACATAATCTTAAGAGTCTTCCTTAGTGGAAGCCATGTTGGATTTCTTCCCCATAAGAACAATGTTAACTTTGGGTCCAAATATCTCATCAGCAAATTGTCATATAATTATGGATAAGGAGTTAAATTTAAGGAATTGCGGTCCTCTAGAGATTGACGTTTTTTATTTCACAATTTTTAATTTTTATAATGAATAATTGATTATTAATTAGCTTAAAATTAAGCTAATTATTGAAAGGAAATGAAAATGGATTTTCGAAATTCAAAAACCTCAGTCACGAGTCTATTATGTTAAAAATACAAATTATAAATTTCAAAGCTATATCTTAACAAATAACGCCGTTACGTGTCCACAAATGATGTAATGTTTAACATTGTTCTTATGGGGAAGAAATCCAACATGGCTTCCACTAAGGAAGACTCTTAATCTAGCATGTTCTATGTACATACAGTACTTCATTTGGCTGCAACAAAGCACCTATCTTGGAATCGGCTTTAGGATCACGTTATCACCAAACATATGCAACTTTGAACTTGGAATTGGGTAACTCGTCCTATATCAATGCTAATTTATCTCTAAGGGCGATAAAATGGATTTACAAAGCACGAGTTGGAGTAATTTATCTAAACTACAAGCCTTGGATAGGTGATCAAAATTACGTGTGCAGTTTATGTAATTTAAGGGAAAACGAGGATGTATTTCATTATGTCTGTAGGTGTCCAATCCTTGCAGGTATAAGGAAACGTTTTCTTCAAAAAAAAGAACTTACTAGGGAAGATTTACACTCATATTTAAATGGTAGGGACTGGCAAAGTCTAGGATGTTATTTAATTAATGCATGGAAATATAGATATGAGCTTGTGTCAGAATTTAATTTTGCATAAAAAAACACAAAAATACATTGTTTGCCATCCTAACGTGTTGCAGGGAATATGGAAAATAAGGAGAAAATAAAAATATTTTGTATGAAAGCTGCCAGCCCAGCTGACAGTCCTTTGGGCTAATGCTGATATAGTGCAGTTAAACAAAACAAAATGATATTAAGGTAAAACACGATAGAATAAGTGTGATTCAAGGTTGTATGTAGATATTTTCTTTGTATATGGAAGAGTTATTTATGAAAAAATCGTATTATTTTGTAATGCATTGTTTTAATGAAAATAAAGGACTGGTTTCATTTAATTTCATTTCATTTCAAAGCACCTATCTTGCCGGCAGGTCGGTCTGGGTATGTGGTTGATTGTACTGTGGCAAGGGATGTTTGTTAGGGCCAGTGTGGTCCATGAGATTTGCTAATTAGGTGGATAATTAATAATAACCTTTTATAGTGCAGATAAAATATTGTAAAACAGATCCATTAAGGTAGTTTGGTATACATGTTAGTATGCTGAGGTAAGCTTGCCAATCATATTTTTTACCTTATATGATAACATAGATTCCTCTTTGAAGATAGTAATTTTAAATCTTCCCGCCACTCAATAGTGCAGTGCAGACGATCGCCCGCCGCGCTGCCGCTTGCCGAAAAGCATCATGGGAAACGTCATCTGTCGTTGTCGGCGGTGTGTTAAAGGAATGTAATGTAAACAATGATAAGTGTATGTTAGTTATTATTATTTTGTAATTTTGTGTGTTTTGTGAATACAAATTTAGGAACTTTATATTCAGTAGTAAATCTGGATTAACGCGTAACTAAAGTACTCTACTGAAATAATTATATAAGTGCAATGGGAAACATATACACAGTTGGACCAAATGAGGCCCTAATCGTTTCAGGTTAGTTAATGTTTGTATTTTCCTGATATTTCCTGCTAATTATCGCGCAATATTTGTTAAACCGACTGATATGTTTGGGTTTCAAATATGCACAACTTTAAGTAATGTTTTTATTTCGAAGTATTGGTCTGTTTACATGCGTTTAGATTTAACTTGACTCGGTTTTGTTTGGTTTCGGAGTTTACTGCTAGGGCCTGCAGGCTGCACAGCATACACAGTAGTAACTTACTCAATATTTTAATTTTAATGTTTTATTAAACCGGAAAGAATGATGATTGGTATGATTTAATGGACGGAACAGCACATTAGTTAGCTTCTAAGGCCTAAATTTCTTCAAAGATTTCAATTCTATTGAAATTAAAAAGTGCCAAAATAATGTTCTAACTTAACCCAAAACTCTTTAAAGTAATAATTTTTTAGCCTATCTCTCAATTATCAATCATCAATCATTGAGATGGGGACGCCTCCTAGGTGCGTATTTTAACCAAAATATGAGTGAAGGATGAGTGTAGAATGGTGTGAGACGATCTGTGTAGCTTTGTTACTGACTAAGATCTGCGGTTTCATTAGTCAGGATCAATTATTTAAAGCCCAATGATCAGGAACAGCTCTTTTCAACTTTCTCATGTATTGTTTACACGGTACCATTTTGTTAGGAACACGTCTAGTCTGTTTTTGTAAATTTTATATTTAGTGACTTGGCCAATTGATGATTTATCTGCTCAATAACTTTAATATTGAATCTCAACAGGTTTAAAGGAGGCCTTAACTTACCATTTTAAGCAATAATGATGCTGGGTAATATAACGATGCAGCTTATCATATTAAGGTTATGTATGGTATTGTTATCAATATTTGGTCGATGCATTTTATGGCATTGAGTATCTATTTTGTGGTGCGAGGCACCTAAGTTTCTTACCGCAATTTTTTTCAAATAACACCCGGATGCAGCGAGCATCCATTACCTTCAATATTTCTCTGCTCATACAAAATTATAGTAGGCTATACTGTTTAAGGCAATATTATTTATTTAAAAATACAGTAGCCTATTGCAGTTAAAACACAGCTAAAAATAACACAATACTCATTATACTAAGCGTTATTTGTTTAACAGGAAATAATTATTCTTATTCTTCCACTATTTTAATGAAAATTTAAATTACTAACTTAATTTACTTAAATGTTGAATGTCTGCATTTTTATATTAAATTAGTTCTTAAATATGCTAAATAAGTTTTTAAAACAACGCTTAAAAAACAACCCTTTTAGGTTAAGAAGTCTAGAGTCTATGGTACCGGTACCTACTTCTTTACTATTTAACTTACTTTATCTTTGACCAACAATTTGGAGCTACATATTTAAGACATTCAAAAGAAAAAACACATTAAAGACAATGGTTGTTGCGCAAATAATATGTTTCCCTCTCATTCTTGCAAAGAGGTTCCTAGAAGCTCCTGAACATTGTCCTTTCAAATAAGTAGTTTCACAGCATTGTTTTGGTGAAGATCTCTGAAAATCAAATAGCAGGATGCGGGAAGCTCTTTAGTATAAGACTGAGACAGTAAGCGAGGCATATCTGAGTCATGAGCTCTACGTGATCCAACGGTAACTTTCTCCAGTTACTTTTTCCACCTTTTTTGCTATTCAAAAGTCTGTTTTCTTATTGTTATAAAAATTCTGAATGGCTAAAAAATACCAGGCTTTCCTCAAATTAAGGTCACAATCAAGCTCCTGTCACAGCCAAACAGCTAGTCCAAATTTAAGATTTAACATTACGTTTCGTACTTCACCCACTACTATTCGAGCCAGTTTCCACTCCAATGGAATGATTACCTTCATATTTTGACTTGTTTTGTCTCTCATGTGTTCTGTGAACAAACTATAAAAGGTATAAAATTACCTGAGTAGGCCTACTGCCTAGCAGTGCTGGTGGCGCTGCCTACAAATTGACAGGCAAAGCTCTCTTAAAGTACTTAACGCTTTTTACCATGCGGTTGGCATTCTGGGTTATAGTAGTATGTTTTCTGTGGTATAACAAGGTCTGCAGCGGATCATCAGTTTCCAATATCTTAAGTCTAGCGATACGTTTGGTCTCAAAGTTTAGTAGGTTTTTGTGTAAGACTATAAGTTTAAAATTTTACTGATTTTATATTTTCAAATTTGTGTAATTCTTTTAACCGACATCATCAATCGAGCAATTGGATAAATAAATATCCAAAAGTTATATAGGCTAAATAAGGTACCTAGGGAATGATTTTCTCATGAGTAAAAAAATATCCTAAGTATGGCTTCATATTTGTACCATAGGCCTATGTTGTTTATACATCAAGAGAATAAGCTGACAACTGCTGATAAGAAAGGAATGAGGAAAACTACTTGTAATAATGCCAAACCATTTCAGTCTAGTGTCTTGTTCTCAATCTCTATCAACAATATATATTTTTTTTTTACAGTTCTAAGAGTTAAAAACTTAAAAATGAATTCAGCTAGATATATAACTAACTGTTTGAACCTGTTTCAACCATACATTATGAATACATCTGATAGGGACGGGTAGCAATAGTGATCTAAATAATTTTATTTACTATTGTACAGCTAACATTTACAATCTAATTATAATTTACACTTCTGTATAACCTCCATCTGATAAGTTATCTGAAATTCAGACTACAGTAACCAAAAGGTTTACTTGAAGAGAAAACGAACCTGATGTGTGCATCTGAATGTGTGATAAGTTGAGTGGTAATTTCGTACTTTATAAACAACAACTGCAGCAAATGAGTATTTGTGTTCTGTAAGAGTGTTCATACGCATACAGAATGTACTAAACACAGGCACACACCAAATGGCCTGAAATCTTGTTTAGGACTTAATTATATGTTTTCTTCCCTGCCACATGTTTTGGTTGCTTTTTTGTGCTAACATTTATCAAAATTACATTTAAATAATATGCACTAGTGTATTCTCATAAAAAAGCAGATTAACACTAATACCAAAACCCCACCTAGGCTGACGTTAACCGAAACCCCCGGTCTGTGAGACCCCATTTGAAAAATAATGGACCCCGCTTAGAAACACACAAACCGAAACCCTCGGTCTGTGAGACCTCGCTTTAAAATACACTAACGCTGGACTTCTGAGACGGACATGTTATGAACAGACGACCTGTCAAGGTCACGGCACCCATGCAAAATGAACAAATGATATATCAATAGGTAGGGGAGGAAAAGGGGGAAGGTATTGGGGGAATGGAATCTACCGAGTAAACAGTGTTGCCAACATGTGTTTTTGAAAATTCCCGTGGGCCTGTCAGACCGGGGTTTCGGTATTAGTGTTAATACCTACTATGGAAACTGTTCTATGCTTTTGAGTTAACAATTTAAAGTATAATCAGCTGATTTTATAGTTACGGTAGCTAAAACATTGATACCATTGTTGAGCATTTAACTTTTTAACTGAATATGTAACAATATTAAATAACTTCTTGATCAGCATCGTCAGTGTTATTAAATTACCTAAAAGTACAAAAAATATGTCAAATAACACTTGTAATAATATATTAATCGTTTTGTGAGTAAACAGTTTAAGTATAAAATATATTATTACAAGTGCAATTTGACATATTTTTTGTACTTTCAGGTAACAATATTTATACAAATGAGTCTAATTTTGGCTTTTTAGGGTGATTATTGATTAATTACTGATCTTTAATTTTTAATGAAAAGCAGAGTTGTAACAGTAATACTAATTTCAACAATCGTTTCCTCAATAATACAGTTTCAAAGGTTTTCTTGTCAAAAACAAATGCTAACAATAATTTACATATTAAAAACACTAAACGTTTACTGAAATGTGAGTAATAAATATTAGCCTAGATCTAAAACAATATTTGACTAAGCTATTTTCTAAATAGGATATTCATACGTCATATTACTAAAAAGATTGACTTAAAGCTAATAATATTAATAATAACACAGCCTCTTGACTACTAAATCAAGGATCCTAACTTATGTGGCAATTTAGTTTAACGTATCACTTGCTCAGAGTATTCAGAAGAGTTTGTCTCGTATCACATGTCATTTAAGGGTGGAGAATCCCCAGTCTTGTTTGATGAGGTCGGCCCCTTTCTCACCTATCATGATGGTCGGGGAGTTGGTGTGAGCTGCGGGAATCTTGGGCATCACGGAGGCATCAATTACTCTTAGACCTCGGATACCCTGAACTCTGAGTCTGGGGTCCACCACAGCTGTAGGGTCCCCAATAGGCCCCATCTTGCATGTACACGACTGGTGGTATATAGTGAAGGAAAAGTGTCTAGCGTGGCACTTCCAGTAGTCATCCGAGTCAAACTTGAACTGTCTGCATCCGGGGATGACTGACTTGAGTAGACGTGCGTTGTACTTCTTGAACGCTCTTGTCTTGGCTAGTTCCTGTGACTTCCTCACTCCTGCGACCAATACATCGAGGTCAGCAGGATCAGTGAAGTAGCCCATGTCTATGACTGGACTGTGGAATGGATTCTTTGAACGCAGCTTGACAGACCCTTTACTACCGGGGCGAAGCACCATCGGGAAGATCATGAAGCCGTCCATTTTCTCCGTGCTTCTGTACATAGAGTTGTATATAGTGTCTGATATGCCAAAGTTTTTCTTGAGTGTCGGCTCTGCAGAGAGTGTCCCGGCAATGAAGAGTAGTTCTAGGTCTGGATAACCGTCAGGATTGCCGGGGTCTTGCAGGTCGTAGAAGCCGATGGCCTCAGTACCTCCTGGGATGGAAGGCCAGCCTTTGTGGTAGTTGATAAAGTTGTTGACAGTTCTAGGGTTTTCAAGAACTCTGTCCACCTTTATACTCACAGAGTCATTTACCAAGAAGGTTAGCCCACCCAAAGCTACGTGGTCTTGCAAGTTTTCTCCCACAGGTAGATCCTGTATCACAGGGATGTCAAAGGTCTGCAGATGTTTCCTAGGCCCTACTCCAGACAACATCAGGAGTTGTGGAGAATTGATTGCACCAGCACTGAGAACAACTTCCTTACGAGCTCGAACAAAGTATTTGCGGCCGTTCTTGACAAATTCGACTCCGTAGGCTTGTTTTGTCGTGGGATCTATGAGTACTTTGGTCACTTGAGTATTCTTTGTTACAAAAAGGTTTTTACGGTTGTTGATGGGGTGTAAAAATGCTCGTGATGTGCTCCATCGTGTTCCATTTTTCATACTTGCCTGAAACAGATCACAAAATGTTATATCATACAATATATTTGTGGACAAAATCTACAACAAATTTTGTTTTGAGTGTTTAATACTGTATAACCTTAACATGTTTTCAAACAAGCTTCTACTAACTATCAAGAACACAATTTTTACACACCCTTGTTCATGCATTGTTTGTTTTTTCAAACTAAATTTCCCAAAAGCTGTATTCTGTATTGTAGTAGTACTGTATTCTTAAAAAAATTTTTAGGTTTGACCATTATATAGCGACCCATAAAAAAAAATTGGCTGTTAAAAATAGAGTGAATTTCATGAAGGCTCATCCTGAGTTTTAAAAAATTAGAGAGAAATTGTTTGATGGCAAAAAAAGACAAATGTTAAAGTAAGTAAGCGTTTTACCCGATTTTATTCAATACCTGATGATAAGCAAAGCCAGACTGCACAGCTCCGTTGTAGTCTACGTATCGCTGTCCAGTCTCTAGACCAGCTTGTACGAAGGCTTGGCCGAGGGGAGAACGGAAGGGAGGGTTGCTGACAGTGAGAGGACCTCCGCGGTGATGATAAACTGTGTCTTCCATCATATCTGGGATGACGATGTCCTCTGACTTTTTGAAGTACGGAAGGACTTCGTTGTAGCTCCATCCCTTGTTGCCGATGGCCGCCCAGTGGTCGTAGTCTCGACGGTTGCCTCTGGTGAAGATCATGTAGTTTAGTACACTGCTGCCTCCCATCACCTTGCCTCGAGGGATTTTACACCGATGTTTGTCCATCGCTAAAACATACAACTTTGATAACATCTAAATATTTAGTGAGATAATCTTTGGCAGCTGGTGAAAAATCAAAAGATTTATATGTTTTTGCTTTACTTCACAAACAACACTAAACCAAACCAACTTTAATAATAAATATAGTTAACCCTCATCAATCTTAAAAAAATCAGGAGTTGTGATATAAAAAAATTATAGTGTGTGTAGCCTACATAATAGTGTGTATAAAACTAAAAACTAAGTTAAATTAATTATAAGTGTTTACATTGTTACTGGTAGCAAACATAGAATATTACAGTATATAAACGGTGGATGTTACATTAAACAAAATATGGTATCATGATACAAAAAAAGGGTTTTTAATAAGCTTTATCCCAATAGAGGTGATTATTTTTTTAACTTGTCTGCGTGCATCCAAGAGACATTTAGATTAGTGAATGCTTGGATTGTGAAGATTTAAATTTAAGAGGAGGCTTAAATTTACATAGTTAGTTTAAAAATATTACTTATCCAAAATTTCAAACTGTATTACTTGTTTGTATTTACAATTCATAATTACTTTTGACTTTAAATAATTTTTCACGCAATTTTGTTTTTCTATGAAGTCATAAAATAATTACCGGTACAAATATAAGTTAATCCTATCTTCATGTTTACCTGTTCGATTTGACTGGAGTAGTCCTCACCAAATATGTTTTAGTAATTAACTAGGGCTGGGCATTAGGAAATGAAGGGTGTGCCCCAAAACACTTTCACTTAATTTATGGAGCTAACAATTCTCTTAATGTGCTCAGTTTTTGAAACAATTAACACTTTGAAAGTATTTGTTTCTTGCAAGTACTCCAGGAAAAATATTTATTGGGTCTACAATGTATAAAATATATATAAAGTTACATAGCTCCTCTTGCATAATGTTTCCCTTTACATTTAATAGTTGTTATTTTTGTAAAAAAATATCAAAAATAAAAATAAAACTGGAAAAATATTGGAACAGACAAAGTGATGTTACCAGGCAATTAATTAAAATCAGATTTAAATTGATTGTAGTGTTAAAAGGTAAGTTACATTTTACTTCAACAAATTGAGATCAGTTTTCTATAGTGACTGGCAGTTGAGATGAAATGACTTACCGAGGCAGTATGAGTTGGAGGAAATAGTGGTATACTTCCAGTTGGCATCAGAAAATTGTAAAAGGTTAGCAACGATGGGAATATCCATCAAGTAGTTCTCCTCCATTCCAGCCTCTATAAGAAGAACTTTCCAGTCGGGGTTCTGGGGAAAAATATAGAAATTCACATAAAGTAAATTAACTTACAAGTAAATTATATTAACTAGCCGTACACACTGAAGGATTTTACCACGACAGTAATATTACTTTGAGCGGCTGACTACATCAGCTATGAGTTAATATGAGAATTAATTTTAAGAAATATAACTCTTCAAAGTTCATTAAGTTTTGTAGAGAATACCTTCAATGATTCAAGATTTGAGATTAACGGATGTCAGTTATGTGGTGTTTACTACTCTACATAACACTGATCACAACCACTAATAATCGTGCTCTCCTACACACCACACTTGGCTCAGGCAATTTTTTATCTCTGTTAAAGGCATACTAGCCATATTATTTTCTGTTACCTCAGTCAGTCTGTTGGCGACAACACACCCAGCTGATCCTGCGCCTACTATGATGAAGTCGTACTCCTTGAGGAAGGTATTGTAGTCTCGAGGCTCCTTGTTGCTATGTTGGATCCCCTCACCCAGGAACTTGAGTAGTCCTGCTAAACTCTGACAGTTCACCTCCAGAACTACCCAGGAGCAGAAATACACTACACTCCAGACCACCCTCATCCTGAGACAAACAGTACATAACACTAGAAGCTAACTGACATAACCAAATCTATCACAGGCGTAGTCTGTAGCTGTGCATTTCTTATGAAATCGTATGGTGGGATATCACAAATGGTGCATACACTTTTTAACTGTAAATTTTACAGTGTTGGGGGCTGTGCAGTATTGTTTGGAGTTCAAAGGACTGTAACATACTAAATTTCAATCAAAGTCGTTAGAGGAGATTTTGTGAAAATCAGATTTCCCGTTATTTTATCGGGTTTTTGTGGTGTGACAACAGGACAAAATTTGACTCAGTCGAGCTTGGGTCTGCAGGGGCAGCTATGCCGATAGTTTCGGGGGTACGACAATAGGACTGAGGGAAATTTCCCTCGCCGCATCAGTTTCTTCCCGTTTCCCCGTGACCAGCTCCATTCTCCCTACTCACACACACAGTCAAGAGAACTGATCACCTAATGGAGTTGTTCACAGTAGTGCTGCATCGTGTTTTCGAAAAGATCAAACTTAACTACGCGGCATAATGTTTCAGATCAAGACCAAAATGTCCACCATTGAAAATTAACATTAAAAAAGTTTTAGGTTTAACATTTAAAGCAAACAGCGGTGGAATAGTAGCCACATACCAAATTCAAAATCTGATCACACTTGCAGTCTGTAGCTCTGTAGATATCCACACATCACTTCAAAAGCCACCTTTTTTTATTCAAGGGGGCGAAAATCGGATATTTACATTCCAAAAGTCAAACTAAAAAATTAGACTAGTTACATTTTATTATATAGCCTACTTGTTTATTAATCAGTTTTATTTCAAGCTTCCATTAGTCCATTTTTGCTTGCTAGAACCATAGTTGAAGTGGAAGGGACTAGGTTCATAAGGTTCAAGATGTTTTGTGTGAGAGTATCTATTGAAAAGTAAATATGGGGTTGTTCAACAAACATTTTGACTTCTGTACACAGAGGTGCCCATCCCCCCCAAACCCAGAGGCGCAACCCCCCCCCCCCCAAGCCAAAGGAGTAGTTCTCCCCCCCCCAATTTATGCTGCCGTCTATTTAAACCTACCCTCACCCCACCAATTTATCTGACAATTTTCCCTTTACCTCATAAAACGATCATTCCAATTTAGTATTTAGTAAACTTGAGGTAAAGAAAAACAAACTTGCTGATAACAAAATTTAAATGTTTAATAGGAAACGAACAACATTTAACAATACTTCATTAGGTATATCTAACTAATGGACGAATTAGAAGTGTTTCAATTTACATTTCAGAATCTCTATTGTCAGCTAACATGTGTTCAGTATTGCAATAGACAACGTCTTCAAAACTTACAACAATATACTAGGTGAATTCTACTCCAACACAGTATTGTAACTGTACAATATATTAGGTGGCGTTAAATTTTACAGAGAAAGAATCTCAGAGAAGAATTTTAAGAAATCAAACCGCTTTAAAAATGCATTAATAATACTTTGGCAAAGTTTTTTTTTTCAAAATTATAGGCAGTCATTAAATAAGACAGACTTGTTGCTCGCCACTCCCTGGCTCTACAAACACCGCCACTCCAAACAACACACTCCAAAAACTCGATTTTACTCTACAAAAATCGCCAGGCAAAATACCCACAAAAGGTTTTTGTGACGAAGTAATCTTATAATTAATTTTGATAGCCCCAGGATTGCCTTTTATGACTAATAATGGTAGAAACGCATCTTGTCAGACAATCTGTTTATACACAAAACACGAAACGATAACAGATAGGCCTATCAATTCACGTGAGTATATTGCCGCGGGCAGGACTGGAAGTAAACTGAATCAGGTTATGACGGAAAGACGTGGTCTCTGGATTGTCGTCTGTGTTATCAAAAGCTGATATTGGACTAGTTGTAGTGACGGAGGAGAGTGTTGAAAATATAATGGGATTCATAATTGAGTTTTCCATTTAAAATTATTGAAAATAATAACCAATTTATCTGCTGGATATAAATTATGGTCTCGAAATTCTATACAGTAGTGCACTAAAGGAAATTTATTAAATACTTTGAGGAGTTTGAAATATATAAATACATAAAACTAGGGACAGCGCAAAAGTTTTGAGTGAAAGTGAAAACACTCAATTAATTATGAATCCCATTATACTTTTAACACTCTTCTCAGTCACTGCAATAGTCCTATATCAGCTGGTGACAATGCAGACGACAATCCAGAGACCACGTCTGCCCGTCATAACCTGAACCTGATTCAGTTTACTTCCAGTTCTGACGACGGCAATATATACGCGTGAATTGATAGGCCTATCTGTAATCGATTCGTGTTTTGTGTGGTGGAGGTAAAGAACCACCAAAACATATGTAGCAAATAAAATTCGACACTGACACTGGTATATTAAGGATTGTCTGACAAGGTGCGTTTTTACCATTCTTAGAAGCAAATCTTAATTACGAATGGCAAAATGTTGTTGGTGTTGATAGTGAGCTACTTAGAAACATTTTTTCGGGCTGCTTATACAACATTTTTCATTCATTATGACAGCTAGCAAAAAACATCCCCCCCAAAATCCCCTCAAAAAAGTCCCCCCCAAAAATTCCTGTGGCGCAAACGCGCCACAGTACCCCCCCTCTGGGCACCCCTGTCTGTACATGTTCAACATGTTAGACAAGGCCTATTGTAAACAACTTATGGCCGAAATAAATCTTGAAACTACATCAATTACAATTATGGTGTCTATTAGAGGCGGTATTTTAAAGCCACCTGAATTAGCTAAAACGTCCAATTCCATTATGAAGCAAAAAAAGTGTTAAAGGAATTATATTTATTAGTTTAAACTTGTTCCAAACAATTTTCTTTTACTTCTTAAACAATCCTTGTCATCAAACTCTTTTCGTGACTATCATTTTGTTCTTCTATGCCGTGGTTTTGGCTTCTATGGAGTGAGGGGAGGATACATACTACAATTTAAAGTGCTATAGAATGTGTTGCCTTGTATTAATTCTTCCGTATTAGCTAAACAATGCATTGTAAATACAGATTTTTATATTTAGAAAACTTCTTTTGTAGTATGTTATCACGAAATGAACACAAAGGTTGTGTGTATGTTCCTACAAGTTAGCGATACAACACGGCACCCACAGCTGTGCGAACTGTGTGCAGGCTGGAGCTCTTGCTTTGTTAACAATCATGCTAATTGTATCACTAAGTATTTAGTATGGTTTGCGGTCTCTTCCTATAGTCAGTAACCCGTATTTTAGACGTAACTGTTTTAAAATTAATTTGGCGTCTGGATATAGATGGACTATTCAAATCTTTATCTTTGGGTTGCTACATAAAGCCGGTTTCAATACAAATGTTGCGAAACAATCAAAGCTCAACATTAGACTAAAACAGTTGTACATTGTGAACGAAATTTTAAAAATAGCTTATTCCCTATTTGGGAAACTCGCTAAAATGATATTATTTTATTTATAGGGATTTAATGTAAACAAACCCGAAAAGAGAATTTTTATAACTAAATTTTGAGCCATAATTAAGAATGATTTGACGATTTTCGTATGGATAAGGAATTACCACGAACCTTTTCGATTTCCGTGTTTTGGTTTTGATTTAATCTCCCACAAGACATAGGATATGCGTGACATATGATTTGTTCTCCAGATATGTTTCCTATTTGACCAACGCAATTCATTAAAAATATATCTTTATCCAATTTGTAATCTCTATTTAATGGTATTGAAAATATATTTTTAGAATTTCAACGGTTTCACACGCAGTTTTAATTATGTATCACAGTCACAGATTGGGGGATAATTCTCTATTAGCAGCCGTACGCTGGTATCTGCTTACTAAATAAATTCTAGATCATGCTAAGGGATTTTGGATACTTTGAACGATGAGCGAACACGCAGAGCATATCTTTAGTCAGTTCACAAAATTTAGGCGGTTTAAGAGGAAGGTTTCTGGGCCCCCACCACTTTTTTTAGCGTAATGTATAGGGTATCACCTACATCAGCTGATCAGCTGTCGACTGCTGTTTCCAAGTTAGGGTGAAGGGGAAGGAAGGCAACGCTTGTTTGAACAGAGTAAAAAAACATGATTGAAATATTATATATATTACCAAATTTTTACCGATGGGAATTTGGCAATGATTATTTCTAGTGAATTAGAACTTTTCAGGAGGTTTCCCGTTTTTAAAAATGTCGTCCAAACAGTCCTATGAAGTATATTTAAACCCAATTATTTATACTAATTTTTTTAACACGAGGAGTTAAGGATGAAGTGTATCCACAGAGATGTTATTCCATCAGTTAGTTTTATAATAGATACAGGCCCCATGGGTTTGAAGTTGGAAGTAAATAACAATTTCCCATGCATGCATGTTGATAAACCAGTTTAAACATACATTCTTTAGCGGCTCTTCGCTGTCAATAGAGCTGCTTGTGTCGTTGCTCTGTCAAACCACCAGAAGCTAGAGATAACAACTGGAAATTAGTTTTGGGGAATTTGTTTTGAAACAAAAAGTAGGGATATTACCCATATTATTTCATTTTGTAGTAATTTCAAATATTTTTCCCAAGGTCGCGTATTGGTGGCCTTGTATATTTCCTTTTTTCTAACTCCATTAGTCTGTCGTGGTGTAAGAATGTTCCAACTCGCAACCTTCATTTCCTCCCTTTAATGGACGATGGTTGTTAATATAGACGAAATATATTGAAACATGAATATCATGTATTAGAGTTGTGAAGAACACTACAATTATCACTTATGAGTGTTCTATGTTTACTCAGTGAATGGTTGAAACAAATGTTTTCCCGATCTAACGTGTAGTTATAACCGAATCTAAATGGAAAACTTGTATCTAGTATGATTTTTATCGATACCAAATTATATGTTTATCCCCTCAATTAATTTTACAATCAATATAAAATCTTTTCGGATTTTGGTAAACAACCCTAATATCTTAATGTGGATGTAACAACTATGACTGTTGGCTCAGGGAACCCCTGTTG